GTAGTACAGCCGACCGGCTATACTCCATGTATTTAATTTTTTTAAAAAGACATGTGCTGACACGTGGCGACACATGGCTGGAGTCTTTTTTATATTTAAAAATAGTATAGCCGACCGGCTATCCTTAGTTTCGAAATATTTTTTAAAAAGACATGTGTTGACACGAGGCGCCTAATGGCTGGAGTCTTCTTTATATTAAAAAATAGTATAGCCGGACGGCTATACGCAGTTTTGAAATTGTTTTAAAAAGACATGTGTTGACACGTGGGGAATAATGGCTGGGGTCTTTTTTTATATTTAAAAATAGTATAGCCGCATGGCTAAACTCAGGTTTGAAATATTTTTTAAAAAGGCATGTGTTGACACGTGGCGCCTTATGGCCAGAGTCTTTTTTATATTAAAAAATCGTTTAGCCGTGCGGTTATACTCAGTTTTGAATTTTTTATAAAAAAGTCATGTGTTGACGCGTGGGGCATAATGGATGGGGGTCTTTTTTTTTTATATTAAAAAATAGTATAGCCGACCGGCAGTACTAAGTTTTGGAATTTTTTTAAGGAAGACTTGTATTGACACGTGGCGCCAAATGATTGGGGTACTTTTTTATGTTAAAAATTAGTATAGCCGATCGGCTATACGGAGTTTTGAAATTTTTTAAAAAGACATGTGTTGACACGTGGTTTCAAATGGTTGGGGGCCCTTTATTATATTAACAAATAGTATAGCCGCCCGGCGATACCCAGTTTTTCAAAAAATATATAGAAATATTGTATAGGCGGGAGGCATTACTGGTTTTTTCCATGTAAACAAACAAAAAAAATTGCAAAATCAGAAACATACGTAAATTGGACGCCATGGTAGCCACGGATAGAGGACTCGAACTCGTCACTACGAACGTCTAGGGCACAGAGCAAGCCCGTGCTAGGTTTCGAGCAGTGTTCGAAAAATCGGCCTAGGCACTAGGCGGGAGGACACCGACGCTAGGGAGTTAGGCGGCGCCTAGGCGGCCTGGAAGGATCTAGGTGGTGCCTTGGCAGCCTGGAAGGATCTAGGCGGCCTGGGAGGATCTAGGTGGCCTGGGCAGGTCGTGGCCATAGTTATAATCAACTTAGGCATGCATAGTTTTCCAAAAATTTACTAGCAGCAAAACAGAGAAAAGACGCGAATCATGAAGAGTTACCAATCCTTCGATTTGAACAACTCTGAGAGGGGAAGCAACCTCTTCTCGCTGCCACCTGAAGCAAGGATCTTGCCACCGCTGTACAATCAACAAAACAAAACCAAATTTTCACAAAGAAGAAAAACAAACGTCCAGCTATACTATTTTTAAACATAAAGCATCATATAGCCGTACGGCTATACTATTTTTAAACATAAAAAAGACGTGCCACGTGTCAGCACATGGCTTTTTAAAAAAATTTAAAACATAGAGTATAGCCATTGGGCTGTACTTTAAATTTAAAAAAAGAAGAAAAAAAAGAAGAACCTCTATCCTTTAAAGCCACGTGTCGAAAATATGTATAGTCGCCGGCTATACCCTTTTTTTAAGAGAAAAAAATTGTAGTATCGCCGCACGGCTATACTATTTAATTTAAAAATTAATAATAAAAAAGGACCCTCCTATTTGTGGATATTAATTTGTAACATATCCAAAGTTGATATTAATCTTCCTCTATTTGATGTTTTAATATAATTTTTAGGGCAATGATTTCCCCACTCCTATTTTATCCACTTACACTCCTTTTTTATACTAAAAAAGGAGTGTAAGTGGATAAAATAGGAGAAAAAGGAGTGGGAAAATCACCCTTCAATTTTTATACCATATGTTATCCTTATTCAATAA